TATTGTTAAATCAGTAGAGAAATGGTACGAGTTAATGAATTAATCAAAATGCTTTCTAGCGATATTGTTATATAGGCAGAGAAGTGGCATGAATTAATCATGATGCCTTCTAGCGATATTGTTAAGAGATGTGGTACTAGTTAATGAAGTAATAATAATGTCTTCTAGTGATATTGTAATATATGTAGAGAAATGGTATGAGTTAATGAATTAATCGAAATGTCTTCTAATGATATTGTTTTATCTGCAGAGATATGGTTTCAAATAATCAATTAATCAAAATGTCTTCAAGAGATATTGTTAAATCAGTAGAGAAATGGTACGAGTTAATGAAAAAAATCAAAATGTCTTCCAGTGATATTGTTATATCAGCAGAGAAATGGTTTTAATTAATCAATTAATCAAAATGTCTTCTAGTGATATTGTTATATCTGCAGAGAAATGGTTTAATTAATCAATTAATCAAAATGTCTTCTTGTGATATTGTTATAGCTGTAGAGAAATGGTATGAGTTAATGAATTAATCAAAATGTCTTCTAATGATATTGTTTTATCTGCAGAATTATGGCATGAATTAATCAAAATATCTTCTAGTGATATTATTATATTTGCAGAATTATGGCATGAATTAATCAAAATGTCTTCTAGTGATCTTGTAATATTGGTAAGAAATGGTATGAGTTAATGGATTAATCAAAATATCTTCTAGTGATATTGTTATATCTGTAGAGAAATGGTTTTAATTAATCAATTAATCAAAATGTCTTCTTGTGATATTGTTATATCTGCAGAGAAATGGTACTAGTTAATGAAGTAATTAAAATGTCTTCTAGTGATATTGTTATATTAGTAGAGAAGTGGCATGAATTAATCGAAATGTCTTCTAGTGATATTGTTATATCAGTAGAGAAGTGGCTTGAATTAATCGAAATGTCTTCTAGTGATATTGTTATATCAGCAGCGAAGTGACATGAATTAAAAAAATGTCCTCTAGTGATATTGTTATATTTGCAGAGAAATGGTATGAGTCAATGAATTAATCAAAATGTCTTCTAGTGATATTGTTTTATCTGCAGAGATATGGTTTCAAATAATCAATTAATCAAAATATCTTCTAGTGATATTGTTATAAAGGCAGAGAAATGGTACTAGTTAATGAAGTAATTAAAATGTCTTCTAGTGATATTGTTATATCTGCAGAGAAATGGTATGAGTTAATGAATTAATCAAAATGTCTTCTAATGATATTGTTATATCTGCAGAGAAATGGTTTTAATTAATCAATTAATCAAAATGTCTTCTAGTGATATTGTTATATCAGTTGAGAAGTGGCTTGAATTAATCGAAATGTCTTCTAGTGATATTGTTATATCAGCAGCGAAGTGACATGAAATAAAAAAATGTCCTCTAGTGATATTGTTATATTTGCAGAGAAATGGTACGAGTTAATGAATTAATCAAAATGCTTTCTAGCGATATTGTTATATAGCAGAGAAGTGGCATGAATTAATCATGATGCCTTCTAGCGATATTGTTAAGAGATGTGGTACTAGTTAATGAAGTAATTATAATGTCTTCTAGTGATATTGTTATATCTGCAGAGAAATGGTACTAGATAATGAAGAAATTAAAATGTCTCTTCTAGTGATATTGTTATATCTGTAGAGAAATGGTGTGAGTTAATGAAAAAATCAATATGTCTTCTAGAGATATTGTTATATCTGTAGAGAAATGGTATGAGTTAATGGATTAATCAAAATATCTTCTAGTGATATTGTTATATTTGCAGAATTATGGCATGAATTAATCAAAATGTCTTCTAGTGATCTTGCAATATTGGTAAGAAATGGTATGAGTTAATGAATTAATTAAAACATCTTCTAGTGATATTGTTGCATCTGCAGAGTAATGGTATGAGTTTATGGATTAATCAAAATATCTTCTAGTGGTATTGTTATATCTGTTGAGAAATGGTTTTAATTAATCAATTAATCAAAATGTCTTCTTGTGATATTGTTATATCTGCAGAGAAATGGTACTAGTTAATGAAGTAATTAAAATGTCTTCTAGTGATATTGTTATATCTGCAGAGAAATGGTATGAGTTAATGAATCAATCAAAATGTCTTCTTGTGATATTGTTATATCTGCAGAGAAATGGTACTAGTTAATGAAGTTATTTAAAATGTCTTCTAGTGATATTGTTATATTAGTAGAGAAGTGGCATGAATTAATCGAAATGTCTTCTAGTGATATGGTTATATCAGTAGAGAAGTGGCTTGAATAATCGAAATGTCTTCTAGTGATATTGTTATATCAGCAGCGAAGTGACATGAATTAAAAAAATGTCCTCTAGTGATATTGTTATATTTGCAGAGAAATGGTATGAGTTAATGAATTAATCGAAATGTCTTCTAGTGATATTGTGATATCAGCAGCGAAGTGTCGTGATTTAAAAAATATGTCTTCTAGTGATATTGTTTAATATGTTGAGAAATGGTATGAGTTAATGAATTAATCAAGATGTCTTCTAGTGATATTGTTATATCAGTAGAGAAATGGTATGAGTTAATGATTTAATCAAAATGTCTTCTAGTGATATTGTTATATCAGTAGAGAAGTGGCATGAATTGATCGAAATGTCTTCTGGTGATATTGTTATGTCAGCAGCGAAGTGGCTTGAATAATCGAAATGTCTTCTAGTGATATTGTTATATCAGCAGCGAAGTGACATGAAATAAAAAAATGTCTTCTAGTGATATTGTTTAATTTGAAGAGAATCAAAATATCTTCTAGTGATGTTGTTGTTTCTACAGAGAAATGGTGTGAGTTAATGAATTAATCAAAATGTCTTCTTGTGGTATTGTTATATCAGTAGAGAGTGGCATGAATTAATCAAAATGTCTTCTAGTGATATTGTTATATTTGCAGAGAAATGGTATGAGTTAATGATTTAATCAAAATGTCTTCTAGTGATATTGTTATATCAGTAGAGAAGTGGCATGAATTGTTCGAAATGTCATCTGGTGATATTGTTATATCAGCAGCGAAGTGACATGAATTAAAAAAAAATGTCTTCTAGTGATATTGTTTAATATGTGGAGAATCAAAATATCTTCTAGTGATGTTGTTGTATCTACAGAGAAATGGTATGAGTTAATGAATTAATCAAATGTCTTCTAGTGATATTGTTATATCAGTAGAGAAGTGGCATGAATTAATCAAAATGTCTTCTAGTGATATTGTTATATTTGCAGAGAAATGGTATGAGTTAATGAATTAATCAAAATGTCTTCTAGTTGTATTGTTATATCAGTAGAGAAGTGGCATGAATTGATCGAAATGTCATCTAGTGATATTGTTGTATCAGCAGCGAAGTAACATGAATTAAAAAAAATGTCTTCTAGTGATATTTTTAATCTGTAGAGAAATGGTATGAGTTAATGAATTAATCAAAATGTCTTCTAGTGATATTGTTATATCAGCAGCGAAGTGACATGAATTAAAAAAAATGTCTTCTAGTGATATTGTTTAATCTGTAGAGAATCAAAATATCTTCTAGTGATATTGTTATATCTGCAGAGAAATGGTTTTAATTAATCAATTAATCAAAATGTCTTCTAGTGATATTGTTATATCTGCAGAGAAATGGTTTTAATTAATCAATTAATCCAAATGTCTTCTTGTGATATTGTTATATCTGTAGAGAAATGGTATGAGTTAATGAAAAAAATCAAAATGTCTTCTTGTGATATTGTTATATCTGCAGAGAAATGGTACAAGTTAATGAAGTAATTAAAATGTCTTCTAGTGATATTGTTATATCTGTAGAGAAATGGTATGAGTTAATGAAAAAATCAAAATGTCTTCCAGTGATATTGTTATATCTGCAGAGAAATGGTTTTAATTAATCAATAAATCAAAATGTCTTCTTGTGATATTGTCATATCTGTAGAGAAATGGTATGAGTTAATGAAAAAAATCAAAATGTCTTCTAGTGATATTGTTATATTTGCAGAGATATGGTATGAGTTAATGAATTAATCAATATATCTTCTAGTGATATGGTAATATCTGTTGAGAGTGCGTACATGACGATACCCCATTTTTCATTTCAGGTATTCGATGATCTACATCAATTGATACCTAGTTATCACGAGTACTCAATAACAGATTTGCTGACGCATTCATATTCCCCAACATCTGGTGATTCAGCTGGGATGCCTGAATATTTTATTTCAAGAGGGCATCAATAGCAATGCGTTTCGGTGGATTAAGATACGCTAGTGAACAGGAAAACACAGTTTTCTGTGAACCTCAGCAAAGATTGCAAGAACCAAAAGTTATTTCAAATGAAAGCAATAAGGTCGGTAGTCGCAATTTTATTTGTATTTTGAATTGATAAATTTAAACAGGTACTTGAAATGGAACAAAATGTCCGAGTATCAAGCTAGGGCTATTTAAAAAGGAAAAATGTACTACTTTGGGGTAGTCAGTGTTCATCTGAATTATGAAATGTTTGTGTGCTGCCATCCTCATATTATCTATAAAAGTACTGCTAACATTCCATGGTTTGTCTGTTCACAATACGAACATTTATGATGTAGCAAATAATTTTAAAGAATGTATTGTTAGCTTTTTCTTCACTTACCCCACGACCAGTTAAATGGATTTTTCTATTTTAAAGAAATCAGAATCTGTTAATAAATTATACAGCTTCACTTGCAAAATTAACATTCCCAATATAGAACCACGTGATGTAGTGTTGGAATACTGATTTCCTTAAACTCGGAGAATCCACCAAATAGTTCAGTAACGTGAAATATTTGTTCATACAATTTTTGATGGGATTTTATGGGGAAAGCCAGATTTGATGGACCCATAACTTATCTCTTAGCTATGTTAAAGTTCTGCTGTAAGACCATTATTAAACTTGAAGCTAAAAACTTGAAGTAAATCGCCCAAATTCAATGGATTGTTTCTTAATCTTTCTCACTTTCATTTACGACTGGTAAAATTGTGTTGTCAAAGGAATTATGGAGCTGTACTAGTACTAGCACATTGCGCTGTTGCGTGATTTGTTGCAGTAGAAAGGGCTGCAAATGGGACTGCTCATACAGCTCAGAGACGATCAGCAAACCTAATCAAATTTGTAGAATTGGATTAACAATTTCATCTATAGAAAATTTTTTTGACTCTAAAGTTGTCGACTGTTTATTTTCACTTTCGATGCTGGATGGGTGACTCTCCAATTCTAAAACTAATAACAGCAGTCTGGTTTGTGTGCTTAGCAATATGGGATCATTTGGATTTGGTTAATCTGAAGAATCTGCTTGTGTAGGCTTCACGTCACTATGAACAGGAATCGTTCCCCTTGCTTGTTTTTTGCTGGATGGTGGTGATATGAGATATTTCCTAGTCTCCGATACTCATATTAATTCGTCGGATTTCCACATACATTTTGTGTTTGCGACATCACATATATTTCATCATCGCATATTCTACTTTCAGTTTTGCTTTTACCCTAATTACACTTGATCACATAATAATATCGAAGGGTTTTTTTTTTTCAAAATTGAACTTCAAATGGATCGAGATTTACTTAGACAACTGAATGACTCAGTGTAAAGAAACAATCAATGATTAAGAGTAAGTAAGCTTAAGGTTGAGTGAACGATGACTTCAAAAATAAGTACATAAATTTGATAAGATTTTAGTGAATGTTTTTGATTTTTTTTCAGTACACTGTTGTTGGACACACGGTAGAAGGTCAACCGATCTATGCGCTGCAGTCTGTGAGAACGCAGGATCGTCCAAGATTACATCAGGGTTCATATTTTTAATTGTTAAATCTTTTATTTTCTTTTATTCTTAATCTTAAAATTACACTGTCATTTAAAGAATATGGAGATTTAAAAATGTCCATAATAAGTTGCCTTCTTGTAGCAAAAGAAGATGAGCAAAAGTTGGGAGAATGCTATTATCATGTTGGTGCATGGTTTATATACTAATGTTAGTTTATACAAATATTATAAGTAATTGACAATTATCATAATCAGGTATTCTACTTTCGTATTTTCAAATTACCTATACGTTAACTTCATTAGTACTTAATACATTTGTAGATAAAGGTTAGAGAAATACTCATGAAATTAGGAATTTGAAATAGGTAATTGTAAAATATATGAAAAGGATCATTTTCTAGCTGTATCGTGTGATGGAGAGCAGTGCTCAACCTTGCTATGTGTTTTTACGCCAGCGAGTTGGAATTGCAACCGTCTTCTTCAGGTATCAGTGGTATTGCTGGGAAGCCAAAAAAGAAATTAGTTGCACCAGATGACAGAGAGAGTGAGAAAATAAGGTAAATCAAAGTTATATGTCATGAAAGACTGTTTAAGAAATAAGTTTGCGCCCTTGGAAACGTTCTTGATTTTAAAACTTCTTGTTTTATTTTTGAATTTAAATGAAAACTTGTAAAAATTAGAAATAGTATTAATTCATTACTTTATAATGTAGTATTAGAGTTGGAGATTTAACGAAAGAATAACACACGAGTGCGATGGATTTTATTTATTCCTTAAGTTTAGAATTCTCTTTTTTAGTGGTTCGACAGTGATTGCATAAGTTGCTGCGATTCAGCGTTTTAGTACGCCACTTGGCTGGAAGCAGATGGGATCATGGTTAAAAACTGCTGAGGCGAACGAAGATTGGAGTCGTTTGAAATTACTATTAAGCTAGTGTTCGCAAGTAAGTTATTTCATGTGTCTACAGATTTACTTTCATTCTCAATCGTAAATCGATTACAGCTATTTTTATTACTTAATTTGGATATAAACTGAAAGTTTATGAATTATTTCAATAGAGTTTTCGGTTTTTCATTTTATTAAGTGGTATACTAATGCTTCTAATAACTCATCATGTTCATGTCATACATTATAATCTTGTAAAATCTTGCATTCTGTTCTACAATTTATTATCGAACTGTGTTCATGTAGATGCAATTGCTAATCACAGTTTCAATAAATATAAACGTTCTTGTTTGTTCATTTTATCATGAGTTCTCAATTTTCTCAGCTTTCTCTTTTTGGTCATATTTCAAAGCAAATAATTATTTCAGTTACGTAGAGGCTAATTTTCGACTACTTTTCAGCTTTATTTAACTGATTCATTTAAGGCAAATCTAACCCTGGAATTGTTGCAGTCAAACGATACTCCGAAATTTGTTCGTAAATTATCGAAGATTTGTCCTGAGGTTTGTTTCAAATTATGCTATGTGGAAAGCAATTCGTAGTTCATTGGTTTTGCTTTTTTTTTCACTTTGTTTTAGTTTCTAGTTTGCATAAATTACAAATATTTTTGGTTTTTTTCAGACGTACGCAAAATATCTGGTGATTTAGTGATACAATGGAAACGTTTAGTATCCGCACCACCTCAGCAAGTACCTGAAGAATTGAAAAAAGTTGGTTCTGGAAGGCGTAAAACACCTCATATGGCATCTGGAGGTGCGAGTAAAGCGAAGATGATGGAAGATAATTTAAAAACTACGAAAACTGAAAAAGAAGTGGATGGGAGAAAGCTAAAGGACATTTCTGGAAATAAAGTAGAATCTAGTAAAAAGTCTCCAAGCATCGAAAATCCTGAAAAATTAGACGTTTCATCTGCCAAAGCCGAAAAGTCCATGAAGGCTTCATCTTCTAAAACTAAAGTAGAAAAAACAGAAAAATTAAATAAGTCAGCGAAAGCTATATTGAATAAACTTAATGAATTCAATATGTTCGAGAAACTGGATAAGGAAAGAAAAGAAAAGAAACGACGCCCAAAAAAAGCCAAGACCTATACTTCGAAATTCCGTTCAATAGGTACTGTACTGGTTAAGTGTTATTTCTCATTCTTCTTGGCCATCGTTTAGTCAGGTGTAAGATTTTTATTCAAAAAATGTTGTATTGTAAATTTTGTTTTTATGTTTTTATAGAAGTTAGGATGTTTTTTACTAGAAGATTTACTAGAAGTTAGATTTACTAGAAAAACAGGAGAATGAAATTCTGAAATCTTTTGAGAATTCTATAAGTTGTTGGCAAGATGAACATTGATTGTTGTCATGCTAATATTGTAATATCATGACCATTTTATGAAGGAAAAATTTTTCCAAAGTATCTCAATACTAGCTAAGTGACTCCTCTATTAGGTGAAGTTGGCATTTAATTCCTAAATTCAAAGGAGGAGGTGCTTGATCTTATATAGTGTAATATTAACAGTAGGAGAAGAAGGAGAAGTTGCTTCACATCAAATATTAGAAGAATAAATTTTGGAATGGGAAACTAAACGTGATTTCACAATTTGGAAGTGAAAAATAATTTTTTGAGGCGATCATGATTTCCTTTGATCAGTAATCATTTAACCAAAATTCTGATTTGCTTCATGACTATCTTGTCATCAAAAGGCGTATTGCATTATATATATATTTTAACATACAACTTCAATATTTCTTGTCTCATTTGGAAGTCAAGTATTTTAAAATTAGATTTAATGTCGGTTATACTAGCTTGCATGATAATGTTGATGAATTTCAGGATTTTCTTCATCACCATTCCATGCAACAGGTGTTCGGTGATTGTACGAGCCGTGCTACTGCTAACTGCTAATTTTGTTGTGCATTTTTTTTCCCATAAAACTGTTCTTTTTTCAAGCATTTCGGACAACTATTTTCATGAAAACAGTGCTTTTTTTTTAATATCATACATACAATGTTATATATGAAAACAAGCTGTGCTTTTTCTCTAGCCAACGTTTTTAGAAATACCTACAAAATGAATTGGCATTGAAGTGAATAATCCAGAAAAATGCATCAGGAAGCAAAATCAAATAGAAATTTTAATTTCAAAGCAATGAAATTTAATTTCAAAGCAAACTTAATAATTTCAAAGCAAGCATGAAAGAAATATGAATTAGGAATTTTGTGCAGGATAGAACTGGAGAAAAATAATGGCACTGCTTGAACGAGACCTAAGAATGTAAAAACAATGCTAACTCTGGAAGATAGTAGAAGTGATGGATGAATTTGCATTGTTTTTGTCATATTTGTAATGGTACTGTATTGGTTCTAGTATGTATTACAACGGTTCTGGCATGATTAAGCAGTCACAAATGTCAATGTTAAGGTTTACAATGCAAATGAGATTATTGTAACTCATCACTGTTACACGGAAAATATGGATCGCCTAATTGCGCATCACTACTTCACATAATTTTATAAATCAACTGTGCTAATTCAACAAAAATTCAGATGTGACATCATCTTGTCCCCAACTCTGGTGTGTATCGTGGGTGCACATAGTACAAGCGATTACTTGCAGTAGGCTTGTACAATCATCGGATGATCCCAATTTAATAAACTGCTGATTATGTTTATTTTTGAAGGTGTTTATTTTTGCTGATTTTAGGACTAGAAGGTGATGGTGAAGGTATGACAGGCAAAAGTAATGATAGCACAATGGTAACGTCCAAAAAGAAAGGCAATTTGCCTAGTAAGGCATTATTAGTTGCCAAAAAACGCACCGGTATGTCCATTTTTTTATAGCTGCGACTTTTTTTAGTCAATTATCATTATATTTCAAATTGTTGTTTGTATAAGCTACGAATGAGCTGTAGTTTTGCTCGATTTATGCTGTGGTGATTTCTAACCTTTTTGTCATTATAAAGCATTATTAGATGCCAACGATTCGATGTGTACTATTTTTATAGCTAAACTATTTAAAATTTTTATCATTATAGCTGTTCCAACAAGTGTGTCATAAGTATCACTTCCTGTCTCATCTGCACCGTTCGCTGATAAAAAACCTGTTTCACACACTCCTGCAAGTAAGTCATACATTTTTAATATTTTGTTCTTGATACAACAAATCCTTACTTTCCAACTAAAAAGTAAGTATTCATCATTTGCATATTTTTCACATTGTTAATGTACTGTTAATATTAATTCTTACTTAATCTAATCTTAGTGATTTATAGGAGTCATGATGAGCAATACATTTATGGATGCTCTGATGGATCCAGGACATAAGAAACCTCCTCCAAAGCAAGCTAAAAAGCGATCGACGTTGAATTTGAAACCATCGATATCCGTTATACCGAGTGTTATGGTTTGTTCTTTCATACATTAAGATTTTTGAATTTTAAGTTTAGGTATGGTGTATTTAGTGGTTTGTGTTGTTAAACAAAATTTTTAAATCAACTAGTTCAGTTTTAATAGAGTCAGTAATGATTGTATTAAATTTTGTTAATACTGGGCTAATTTACAGCTGTATGAAATATTAAATTAGTGGAAGTTATGATTGAATATCATGCATTGCTAGCTTACAAAATAATTCTTTTTTAAAACTCCTACATCTTTATAGAAGAGAAGTCGTCATTCCAATTTTACGCAATCATAGTCATAATTTGTGATTATGTTCGAAGTCTAATTTTGATTTTTAAGTTTTTTTCTTGTTTTGAAAAATCATTTAACAACAATTCTTTTTAGGAGGGACCATATAGTGATACCTCAAAATCGCTTAATAAAGAAAAACAGGACGAGGGATCGGTAGAGGAAAAAAAGTAGTGGAAGAACCAAACATTGTACCAATTGGTAAGATACGTTTCGCTGATGAAAATGGACAGGAGCTTGTTGAAGTTCGGTATTTTGAAGTAGAAGGGTGAAAGATGTTAGTTTTTTTTTTTTTTTTTTTTTTTTCATAATTGCTGTATTTTAAATCTGGGAGTAGGATTAATTATATGAGAAAAATATAATTGTCACAATTTGCATGACTAATAAAATGACTAGTAAGTTCATTCCCTAACTTAGAAACAGAATTTCAACTTGTAATTACTTTTGTTTCATTAATATATTTGTTCTTAATACTGTTGGTTTGAATTTACTTAGCTGATTCTTATATGATCCATCAGATCGTATAGCAATTTTAAAGTTCAAATTTCAGTAAATGTTAGCAAATTGTCATCTGAAGACATGAAGCACCTCGAAATGCAACGTGAACGAACATTTATGAAAGAACAACGCAGCCTACATATAACTGAATTTGGCTTCAATACTGGTCGTTCGGAAGGAATCACTCATATTCCAGTATAGCTAATTTCTGATGTTTTTGTTTTTTTAATTTTCAAATGTGATTTAAATATTGAGGAATGTTTAAAGATTATTGGGATTTCCAGTACTTTCAAATGTTGTTAAAAATCTTAATAATCATTGAACTTTGGAATTGTGGAACTTGTGGAGTTCTACATTTATTTGCAAGCATCTATTAAATTGGTCCTTTCATGTCAGGTGGTGGTAGGTAGGTAGGCTAATAAAGTTTACAATTCAAGATCTTTGATATTATGTAGGACTTCAACTTCTCAGAAATTAATCAATGTTGTGAACAACTTTTTTGTAGCTGATTTTTTAAAAAAATTTTCAGTGGAAATTGATACCGCTTACGGATGCTATATTTTTTGAACGTCGAAGTTCGCAGAGTGAAGCGAAAAAAAATGAGGAAAAGAGGCAAAAGACTATTATGATGCCATTTTATGATCCCTCGTTGTAATTTTTATTTTGTTACTATGTTAAAACGTGGGGAGGTACGGAGGTACTATGTAAAACGTGGGGAGGTCTTAATCAGGTAATTTTCTGAACTTAATTTGTTGTTACATAATTTCAAATCATGAAGGTCTCAGCATTTTTGTTGCGTATTAAATATTTGATATTTTTTAGGATGCTGCTACCACTGCTAGAGGTTCAGCAAGTCATAATCAGAGTGAAGGAAAAGAAATAAAGTAAGTGATCAATTTTGTTAAATTCGTTATATGTTTATTTTAATTTCAAAAGTTTTAAGGATAGCTGTTTTTGAATTACTATTTAATTCTTATCTATTAAAAGCATATATAAATGAAAGCAATGAAATTTTTGCAGAAATTAATGACTGAACTAAAAAAGAAGGGCCTTGTTGGTTCAAGTTCAGATTTAGTAAGCATACTCAATAAAGTATCTTCAACTACTTCTGCTGTTACTGGTACAATAGGAACATCAGTTCCTTCCGCATCACAACTCTCTGTGACCACAACTCCAACGTATGCTCAGTTAACAACACATTCCGCCGTTCCAAATATTCTGAATATGTCTTTACCGCCACCTCGTTTTGCTCATGGTATTAAATATTTTTTTTTTCAGCCGTTTAGGGGTGGTTCACGTCGAGTTGGAGCAGATTGTGGATATAGGTATGACATACATTGTATATTACTGAAGTATTCAAATAGTCATAAGTTGTATGAGAAGGAAAATATTTTCAAAGTTTAAAAGTAATTAGCAGAATTTAACAGCAATTGTTTCATTTCTGAACAAGCTGTCTAACGAATTGTTTAAGCCTTATTTAACAATTATATAAGTTACGATGAGCTAAGAAAAATCAGTTAATATGGCTCGGTTTCAGACGTGGACGTGGTGGACCTTCATTGGGTCGTAGGGGATTTTATGATCGCGACAGAGAAAGAGATCGTGACAGGGAACGGGAATATGACTATGATCGTCGTGTACATGATCGCTATGGAAGGAGACGGAGGAGAAGTTCGTCGAGATCAAGAAGCAGAAGTCGATCAAGGTTGATAATCCTTGTGTTGCTATTATGCTTTCTTGAGATTTGTTAAAAGAATCAAAGTGTTAGAAAAAAATATTTGTATATATATATATCAGATTATCGAATGTTGGTTTTTTTTTTCAGGTCAAGGTCAGCGAGTCCGTTCGAAAGACGACCATATTCACCTGATCGTCGTAGGCGTGGTAGTCCACGTGTAATGCATGAATGCGAGCAAGAGGAACATTTCGAAAGACGGTTGAGAGGAGATGATCGAGAACGAAATGACCAGCATGTTATCTGTGTTGATACCAAACCACAGTTGCAGGAACATCATCTTACAACAGAACGATAATGTGACATGGAGACTCTGAAAGGCATGGAATCAGTGACAAATGCGGATCAGCGTAGGTCACCCCCTGAAGATCCACTACCGTCCACAAAACCAACTGAGAGCGTTCGATCAGTTGCTACTGATTCTCCTGCGAGTCCAATCTAAGATTAGGATAAAATTTTTTTATGGAAATGGCGATATGTTCAATAATTGTGTTGCATGTTTTTGAAATTTGTTTAAGTGTGGGTTTTTGTATGCTTATGTTATACAAATATAGATATATTTCTTTCTTGGAAAGTGTTAATATTTTATAATAGGGATCGTTTTCAATTGAATTCGACATATATTTCATAAAAATATCCAGATTTTCTAATCATAAATGCCAATTCTGATGTATGAATATCTACTTGTTATCTCAAGTTGAAATAAATGGCAGTAAGTTGTAATTTTGTTATCCACTAAAGTCTATTT